AATCACAGTAGCGCGTCAAAACGAGCGCGTATTGGTTGTCAAGCAATTTTGTATTCTTTACCACACAAAAAGTCTTTAACGACAACAGCGCGTATTTTGACGCGCTTTTTTGATTTCACGAACTAACACAATTGAATTTAATTGTGTTAGTTCGTGATGTCAGCGACGAGTTCTGGGTCAGATCTGTTGTCCTGTTCATTTGCCCTTTGACGCTTGGTATGCCTTTATCCCGGATGTCCCAGATATTTTCGATCTCCTTTTGATTTTTTGTAGAACAGTTTGTTGCTTTTGTGTACAAATAATCAAATAGAATAATACCGCTACAGATGAAAGTTCAAGAAAATAATGCAAACTGTAGCTTTCATCAGAAATGTTTTTGTATTTAAAAAGTCTTTGGGGTGTTACTATCATCGCCATACGCTATACAGTATCCTAGAACTGTATCTCTACACAAGTGAATAATTAAAATACTAAAATTTATTTATATTATTAATAATGATTATTTGATAATTGCATTGAGCAGGTATCGCTGTTACGGGGACAATTGTCGAGGAGCCATTCATCCGACCTGAAAATCTTCGAAAGCGTTCCTACTTTGGAGAAGTAACCTTTGTAATTGGAAATAAAACGATAATCGTGAGCCCATCGCAGATAACTTTCGACGAAGTCTACAACTTCAGATGGGATTATGACGTAGCCATCGGTGATCCGGATTTATCGATTAGCATTGTGAACAAACGATTTGCCCGTGTCAATATCCAACCGAATATCACTTTAGTTGCAATGCGACATGCGGTGACCGGCAACAACATCATGAAGGTCGGGTACATGGGAGTGTACATTGAAAACGGACAGGGATTGTCAGACGATGTTCATGGATTGATTGGTAAGTATTGTATTAAAGTGAAATTAAAACTCTGTCCATTATGTATGTATGTATATGTATTTCGATTGATTGATTGATTAATTGATTTACTGATTGATTGAATTTATTCGATGCTCAACATACAATATTAAAAATAGTTTGAGAAAGCCCAGCCCATTCAAATGGTGTTTAAAATTGCACATGAAGTTATTAATATTTAAACTTCGAAAATTAGTTAAAAATATGATATAAAAATAAATGCAACATCTGAAATACAGATATTAATTTGTACATAATTCAAATTCTAAAAAAAAAATAAATTCAAAATTTACATCAAGAACAATTAAAAATGTATGTATAAGTTTAAGTCAAGTTAAGTTAAAATAGTACTGGAATTCTAAACCTAATCATTTGAAACATTATAGAATCTAATCCTACTATTTTTGAGCATCGTTTGGCTTTGTGAAAAGAAGAAATAAGAAGTGTAGGCCTATTGGTTCCGTGTTGGATTATACTATACTTTAGAGCAAAGATGATTAGACCTAACAATGATGGGAAGACATCAATAATCACGATTGTAATAACCGTAACAATATTTTAATAACCATAGGACAATTTCGAGACACCAAGATGTCGATTGACAGCAACAGCATCCGGGTCAATGACCAGTTCGACGTCAGTGCTACGCTAAATGTGAAATCTCGTAAAGTGCCCGTCACTAAGCAATATCGTATGATACCTGCGCTCGCGCAGAAACAGCCATGTTGGTTCGCAGGCAGCAACGCAGCTGGATTAATCGACGGCAGCCATGTTGACTACTTGGAGAAGACCACATCGTAAACGCATTTTCAATTCGAAAATGTAGGCCTCTATAATGGAAATAACATTTTTCTAGATAGCAATTATAATAATTTTTGTGAAAGAACTTACGAAAGAATGAGATACTATAAACTGTACACTACAATCGATTATATGCTACTATTAGTTTAAACGTTAACGCCACAAAAACAATTCCGTGGAGGATCAGAGAGTTGTAAATGGGGCGCCCACCCCCCAGCAGCAGCAAAAAACTTTATTTCGTAAGCCTTAAACCTTATTAAACGGGCTTTTTAAAAATCATGAACTTTCAGTGGATGTATTCCCTCAACTACCAGAAGATTAATGCAACACTTTTCATCACTCAGACACTTACCATAAACATTGGATTGACACCCCGCGCCTCCCCCTTTCCTCCGGGAAAAATATCGTGTACCCACGGATTCCCTGCGAATGGAAGCCGATTTAGGCATAATAGGATTATCCGGTTTAAAAAACACGTCGTACTGCAAAAATAATACATACAGTAGGCTATATGGGGGCTTGCCAATCCAAGCCAAGTATCAATGACCACAAATTGAAAATTTACTTTTCAATTATGCATAGACCTATTCTCCATATTCGTCACTGGAATCGATGTAATTGATGAGTAAATAAAAAAATGGTTTCTCTGTACTAGAATATACTTCCACATTATTATGCTAATTACACAGTTTTCAATGTTTATTATGTTTAATAAAGAATTTTGTCATTGGTACACACTGGATAGTTTTATACACGAAACAAGAAAAATAAATAATTGAACTATACACCAACTGTTGGTGACCAAGGCAGCATTATGCAATAAACGTTAACGATAAAAGTGAATTCGAAGCTATATGTATACGTTAATTTGTTTCATTCATTTAGTATCAAAACACACACATTATGTTATGTTATTAGCGCCATCAACGGTAATAGGAAATATTGCATCTTTTGATATAGTGCCTAATAATTATAAGTATTTTAAAGATGTTATAATGCATACCTCGAGTACAGAATATTCCTGTATTTGCGAGCGCGTAAAGATGGTTTTCCACGCACTAGGCGAATTTATTCGCGCGAATCAATGCGTCGGTTCGCTTCCTGAGCTCTGATTGGTTGAGCATTTTTTCGCTTTGCAAAAACTCTGATAGAAATGTGAACGCGCATGCGCATGAACCGACGCTTTCGATTAGCAAGAATAAATTCGCCTAGTGGAAAACCGGCTTAACTTTGCATCAAAGCGAGGTTTCTGCCGACAACTTTCGGTGATGCTGATTGGTCGGTCGAATCGGGGAACCTTCCCGATTGCGTCGGTCACTGCTTCGTAGCGATTGCACCGAAAACATTGTAACGACAGTGTAGTAGCGATTTAAGGAAACCAGACTTAAGGCCTTATCCATAATAGAAAACGTTAAGGCCAACTCAGACAGCGTCGTACGACGCAGCCCGACGCGATTCATCTTCGGGGACAGCCTTAAGCCGTCGTAAAATACGACAAGACTGCCCGAGACGCAAACCCTCGCGCCTGCGTTTAATGTCCCTTTCACACATTAACGATCTTTGCTGCAACTGAGCATGATTTTCAATTTTTGAAAATCGCAGTGGTGTCGTACTAAATTTCGTGGTCAATCTTAATTCACAATAGCGCATCGTACTGGATCTTGATGTCATCGTGATGGAGCACGAATTTTTTGGAATGTTCCAAAAAATCGTGCTCAATCGTAGCTATGAAAAAAATCTTGGTCTACGCTGCATCGTGTGAGTCTAGTAACGTTGTCGTCTTGTGGGGACGGCGTCTCAATGCATTCGTACTCATTCGTAGTGGCCCGGCCACACCTATAGTCTTGCATATATTACAGCTTTTTAAACATGGTGAAATATTAACAATTATGGCGACGATCACGACAACATTCAAATATTCGTAAATTGCGCCTTTTTTGTCATGTGATTATTTAAATCGATCAGGCGTCTTGTTAAATCGTATTGATGTCGTATTTTCGTCTTTTGAAATAGTGGTAACGTCGTAACATAATCTTGGTAATTCGTAGTAAATCTTAACGTTGTCGTAACTCTATCGTTATTCATAACAATGTCGTCGCACTGTTGCATTGCCGTAATACGTTAAATAACTACAGTAGAGCACGATTTTAGAATTTTTAAAAATCGTGCTCTGTCGTAGCAAAAATCGTGAATGTGTGAAAGGGGAAAAACTCACACTACATCTTAGCATGTTTGTATAATCTAGATATATTCTTTATCTAAACCGCTTGTGTAAACATTTTAAACAAACTTATTGACTCACAATTCTTTATTTTTAAGGTAAGTAGTCTTTCATATGCAATTAATTATAGTTAAAGACGTTGCAATATTCAATATAATGCCTTAAAACTGTATTTGACAATACTTGTATTATTTTATTTGGCCTACTAGACTACACAAACATAAACTGGTTATCTAAACATTAAGACGCTCATAATCGTAGTAGGCTACTCTAATATTATTATTATTATTATGATGTGATGATGATATGATGATGATATAATTATGATGATGATAATATAATTATTATTATTATTATTATTATTATTATTATTATTATTATTATTATTATGATGATGATGATGATGATGTTCTCTCCGAAGAGAAGAGAATTTACAACAGCATAGCCTATAGTTGAGAGCAAAATTTGAAACTACTTGCATCACTACTAGCACCATCTGTTGATTGTACGTATTTTGTATTATTGAAAACATTATTCAAGAAATTGCTTGCATGAGGGGTGAACGTATATAGGCCTAAAGGTCTCTTTGATCTTAGAAAATTATCTCTCAGGTGAGGAAAAGTGTGGAACTGTTGTTAGTGCGAAGTGTTTGCAAGCGTTTGTTGTCGACACAAAGAGATTTGACCCATGGGATCTAATGTTTACCAGTATAAACTGAACGTGTAAAAGCTTCAGGTAACATAACTACTTTACAGTCACTTGGGAACGCTCGTGCTCCGGAGACGCAACACAAAGCGTCAACACTGGGTTACTATGAGATATATTCGGTGTAAATGCTGATCATTAATATTTTATATTCTTTACTACGTTTACTGATACTGGTATTTTTTAAAGAAATTGATTATATTTCCAGTTTGGGATATTGTACAGTAGGGGTACGTATTTTTTTTTATTACTATAAATACATTCTATTTTGGTCTACATTTCAATCATTATTCAAGCATCCAGTTGTAAATAAATCGTTTTTAGGGATTTAATTGTTTATCAGATAAATTCAGACAAGAAAGTGTGATTCGAGGAATACAATGATTTCATGTCTGTTACTACTAATGATAGGGGATATTAACACCAATATTAACACCAATACGCCAATGGCATTCATTATTATTGACTGTAGGCCTATGTATTATTACATAGGGTTGCATTCATATGAGAGAATGCCAACTTAGACGAATAAACTATTTAAGTCATTCACTATTAGGCCCTATATCAATATAGGCCTAAGCCACAGTGACGTTAGCCTATTGATAGTAATAATATTTTTTTTAGACTTTGGAACCGTAAATTATCTTAAATTTTGCCACAATAAACATGATGGGAACAAAAAACGATTCATGTGCATGTTCAGTTTCTGCATTTTGTGTTTGCGAGTGAACAAATTCAGTTGAATGTTTACCGTATCCATCCCAGTTATTAGATAATTTCTTCTTGGGTAGTAAAATATTGTCATACAAGTAGTTAAACTTGTTATTTCTAGATGTAACGCAGATATTCTGAAGCTCTACAACAAATATTATCGCCGGTTTGTGAATGAAGTGATCATTAACGAGAAAGCTGTTTCTACTAACCTACGCTGATGACCAAGGCCAAACACGGTACGTGAGTCTGTGTGTTAATGATATTTCATAATTTTATTAGGCCATGTAATTAAAGCACTGATTATGTTGATAGAAGCTCCTTTATAGTCCGACTATAAATGTGATAATGTCTGTAAAAAAACTGCACAAGTGGCAAGGCCATTCTGCAAGGCGAGCCCAGCCTTCAATTGAATGGCGCTTCACTTGTACATTCGGTTTCTAAATTGTCTTGAGTAGTCCTGGTAATTACAGTAAGAACAATTGTGAGTAGACACTATAGCATATTCATAGCTATTAAGGTCTCGGAACGTTTGTGATGGTAACTTTGTTGTGGTGGTTTTGAGATCAATACGAATATCGTGATGCATGGCGTTCTTGCCACCTTTTTCATCTCATCCCAATGTTGTAATTCCCCATCGTCCGAAACGTATTTGCTGATCCAAATAAATTTATTCTGATTACCAGTCCCTAATATAGTAATATAAAAGTGCAATTTGGGCCTGAACCACAAAATCTTTCCCCACTAGGGATTTTATTCCGAGGGATGGTAACAGAATCTCAAGGCGGCCCCTTGGATTAGAACAGGGGGTTCTCAACTAGCGGCCCACTGGCCATCCCCGGGACGCTAGTGTCTGTTGTGGCCCGCGAGACAACGTTTGTAGGCAATAATATTCATAAGTCATAACTTAGGCGATTCTCTATGAATAGGCCTCAAAAATGTTTCTTGAGACTTTAGAATCGCTTATTGCGTCATTGTTGTTGACGAGTCTGATCAAGAATGGATATGAAAATACAGAATGGATGAACAATAATGACGTGTTAGTCTGTTCTTAAACTTGGGTTTGGTCTAATTGCCGAACTTGGGTCCCATTGCGGAACTGTACTGCCATTAAATTAGGTTCTCAATCTAAATACCAGCCTTGTCGGAATAGACTAATACTTGATGCGATTATGGGCAGTGGCGTATCTAGGGG